GGGGAGGTGTATGTAGAGGCTGGTTAGCAGACAAGGAAATGTAAATAAAAGATACAAGAGTATATCATAACACTCCTTAAGTGATTAAAAACAAAAGGACTAACAATACATATTTAAGGTGGGAAGCCCTCTGTTGGCCTTTTTGAGGAAAGTCTGTCAATACTTACTAAATTGAAAAACAAACAACAAAAGAAAATCAACAACATACTAAAGACACAGCCATCCTACTCCTAAGTATACACCCAAACAAAACCCTACAAAGATCCACAGCAATATACCTGTGTATTATTTCACTTAAATGGGGGGTGGGGAGGGGAAAGACATGACCACAGGTAAATTACAGTGCTAGATGTCAGAACAATGGCTACTGAGAAGACACAATAGTGAATATGAGAGGCAGAGGGGGGTTATAGGATGCTGATAATTCTATGATTATCTATAATCCTCTTTATGAGGATTGCTGATACATGTTTTTTTTGCTTTATAATTCACCAAGCTATAGTTACCCCTATATACTCGAGTATAAGCCAACACGAAAATCCACCAAGGCACCTAATTTTACCACCAAAAAATGCATTAAAAATGTGCTGGAAAACTCAGCTTATACTCGAGTACATGTGGTATATGTTGTGTGCTTTTTCTGGTATTTTAACTGTATTTCGTGAAAATAAATATTCCCAGGATAAAAAGCCCAATAGCAGTATGTTCAGTAATATTATCATTTCCTTTGCTGAATGAGCTATGAATAACTGAATGCATATACTACTATACACAAATGAGGACATGGTGAGGGTTTTCATAGTCTAAAAGTCGTCATCTCAAAGAAAATGAGTATAACTGGGAATTAGCTTAAATGGATACTTCAGTTATTTAAAAGTAATAAACTCTGTATCTTTATTTACCTATATCATATTACAAACATATTTAGGAGACTGAGTTGAGGGAAGGTCAACTAGAAAAATATGAATGAAAATATCAAATGTACCGTTTGCTACATGTTTTGTCCTGGAGGAGGTAAAGCAAAATCACTTGTAACAAACAAAGTAACTAATCATCTTGTTATTTTGGTTACTACAAAAGTTCTTGTAACACTTCTTGAAATTAGACCTGAGATCTTAAATCACATGCTTTCAACAAATCAAAATCACCTTAACAATTTAGATAAATGAACATTTCCAAAGTCCAATATCATAACCTTGATTGATTTCCCAAGCCCTAGTGTATTTTTCGGTTTTCATTTAAAGCAGGGGTAGGGAACATGCAGTCTGTGGGCCACTTAAGGCCCACAAAATCATCAATACCAGCAAACATCACCTGCCTCATCAAAGAGGCAGTTCCAGCCAGCACATAAGGGATGCATTAATTAATGTTTGATTTGATGGCCCCAAAATATAAAAATCCAGTGCCTTTAACACAACACATACCAAATTCATACTGCACATAACAAAAAGTTGCATATTCCTTTTCTTGAAATAAGACTCTAAAAAGTACCTGAGCAAGTTCTTTTTGTTCATTCACCAGTCTGCCACAGCTAGCAATCATCTGGTCCAAGGCATAAAGCCTATCTTCAAGCCCTTTAATGGTTTTCATACTCTGATTATCAAGTGTGCCAATAGTTTGATGGCATTCTGCTAGAAATGGCCGAATAATCCTTGGATCAAGCTAAATGACAAGGAAACGTACATGAATGAAAGTTTCAGCAAACAAAATAATTTAAAACTATGTTCCAAAAAAAAACTATGTTCCACATTTTGGTGCAGTGCTTCAAAAACCATCTAAAAGCAACAGGCAAAAAAAGTACGGTGAATATGAGTTATTCTTTACAGGAAGGCAAGGACCAGATAAATGATAAAATATACAACATACATAATTAGAAACAGTTCCAAAATCATTTACTGGCCAATCAGTAAGTCTTTATGGAATCTAAAAAATACTGCTATTTTCCCTTTCAAGTAAAGAGGCTGGTTGATTGCCTATATGTGCACTCTCCACAAAGGTAGTCTGCCACAGGCACCAATAGCCTAAATTCACTGGAGGCTTTGTACTTTATCCTAACTCTATAAACTATGGGACATTTCCTCTACTGTTCCTTTCAGGTCGGAGTTCCTAACATAGTGTCATTATCTTGCTCCTCTCCGTGTCTAATCCTTATATATAAGGGAAAATGCTGTACTCAGTCCAGTTTTTATTCTTCCCTATGTGATTTCGCCACTAAGCGTAACTTCTATGGCTGAATCACTTGTATTTCTCACAAATTCCTAACCTTTTTATCACTTGCCTGTAGATATCTTCTTGTGGGTATTACTATCATGTGTGCTATTAATGACTCATTATTTCTGTATCCTGGTGAAATCCCCTAATCGTTTCCTTCTAACCACAAACCATATTGAAAAAAAACCCAGATGTCAGTAAACTGAGAATAGTAAATCCTTCAAGGCTGCTTTCTTTTCAAACTTTAAGTACTCGTTAGTCCCAGACAAACACTGTGTTTCTCTTTGTTCACCTTGCTTGTGGTGCCTAAATTCATGGTTCTTTAAGCTCATTCATCTGTCTTGTTTTAAAGATATATATATATATCACCTCCTTTGTGATCTTTCCACTAGTCAAAAAACGTACATATATTTTATGCAGTATTTTACACAAGGAACACATAAAAGCATTTAAAACAGAAAGCCAGCTATTACATAAACCACCACCAACAACAAAAAATTAATAAGTACAGGCGGCCTTCTATTTGCACAATGATTTCACAACTGAAACTTGAGAATATATGTATGTCTCTTCAATTTTCTCCATTTCATTTTTAACAGAATCCAATGTGCAAAATTTCTAGTACACAGTTGTGTGCAATGCAAAAACTCACTGCAAACCACTAGGGTGATAAGTGGCTGAAAAAGAGAATAAAATTGGTTCAAATTGTAAATCTGGGCAAAATTATAACTATGTATACACTTGATGAAGCACTGACTAAACAAGAAAGACTACTCACAAATTCAGAGTGCTTCAGATGTCTGTATGCCATAAATTAAAGCATATAGGGAGTCTCTGTTGCATAACATATATGGAGCTTTTGAATCACATTTACTTTACATTTTTTGTTTGTTTGGGGAGCTGGGGTGGGGGGGAGACAAGACACCAGACCATAATAATACTATGTACTACATATAGCAGTGTTTAATTTGCCAAAGTTATTTTCAGATATCCCCTTGCAGATGTTTGATTTTATGATTTACTGTTTAACACACTGACATAAATATTTAGTTTTCATATATATCATTTAGTTTTCTAAACTATATCAGGAGTTTCAAATTGGAAGTAGTAATATGTAACCAGAAGATATATTAAAGAAAGGGAGGTAAAGGGGGACCATACACAAATTCTCACTAATTTTTTACCAGGAACGCCATTCCAAAGGATAATTCAGATGACCCAGAAGCCTCCAAAAGTGGGGTTATTGCTGCAACTGTCAAAATGCTCATGGTCTTCAAACTTTTCATCACGGAGGTTTTTATTGTTTTTAAACTTAAATTATTTATTTTATTGAAATATTTCTGTACATTTGCATGTTATGCTCAAAGTCCTAGACACATGATTTTTTTATAAACAAAAGGTGGTAATAAAGAAAGTTTTACTAAAAAAAGAAGCATGACTTGTATCAGAACCAACTTACAATGAAGTCATGGGACTGGAAATCTGTCATAAGGAAGGGACAATCTATATAATGTAACTGTGAATTGCTTTGTGATTCTCTGAACACAAGTTACATAAATTGACTGCCTATAATTTTATTTTATGTAATACTTTAATTACATTTGTCCACAGGTAAGGAAAATGAAGATTTCCAAATAGTCTTAGAAGACAATTTTCATATTACATTTTAAAAATCACAGAATAGTATTGATAATTAGCAAACTGGACATTTGGTGCTATATTAGTTTTCGTTTTCTACCACTCATGTTTCCTTGCATGTTGCTTCGATGCTGAAGCATATGCCACTGGTTTTTCATATACCAGCAGGGTTACTTGGTGAACAGGCTTCAGCGGCGTTCCCAGACTAAGAACAAACAAACTACAAAGCAGGAATAGGAGGTTTATTTCAGGGTTAGCCATTGAAAACCTTATGAACAGCAGCGGAACTTGGTCAGACAGACTACTTGGTGATCTGGCATTCTTTGGCTAGTTTTTTGATACCTACAAATGCTAATCTCATTTTTGCTTTCCACTGTAAAATAAGCTTCTCTCTCCCCTTTGGGTTCTTTCCATCCCACTTATTCCAACAAGACCCTGGCAGAAATTCTAAGAAACTGCCATGATGTGATAACTGGAAAATGAGTTACCAGAAATGTGATAAATGTCACATTGTGACATTGTGATAAATGTCATAAATGAATGACATTGCTACAATTCTAAATCCTATCCAGGTATCATACTATAGGCCTTATCATGTGAATCTGAGTTTCAAGGCAGAGAAGGGAAAAAACTAGGTTTGTTCAATTTTCACCTAAATATGAAAAAGTGTAACATAAATACAAAGACCTCTTATGGGAACAAGATACTAGCCTAATAAAAATACCATCACTTTGCAGGTAAATAACAAATTTGACCCAAATATAAGCTCTGTGATTCTTTTAAACATCACCTATAATGTCAAGGAGTCCTGGAAAAAGAAGGATGTTTGGAAATTGTGGTATCAATTGTACAATTCTGCTTGATGTAAGTGAACTATGGTATGATAAACTTCCAATTAATAAATTTTTTAAAATTTAATCATTAGAACATTTTCAACCAAAAAAAAAACAAAAACAACACCCGACCTATATGAGATCAAACAGTCAATAGCTACTTTAAAATAGAACTAAGAGTATTGCATGGTATGTACACTGATCAACAATATAAGCAAAATGCAAGTACAGTATAAGAAGTACTTATGGGAAAATAATATTTTTCCTAATTGTGCAACTGATGAGAACATTGCATATTTAGCCAGTGTCAAATACTTTTATTAGCAACAAGACTACTTTCCTATACAAGGACTTCAAAAAATTCACTCTTATTATTTAACAATGGCAAACAATTTTGCACATGAATAGCATATGCCTGGCAATGATAAAATTCAAGGTAGAAGACAAGAGCAACACTAACTGTAATAATTTAAGGTTATATGTCAACATGGGTGTGATACGATTCTCAGTGGTTTGGCAGGTATGCAATGATGGTGTCACTCCATATTGTGATTATAATTGGTCGTCCGCAGTTTTTGTGTGACCTGGTCTGGTCTTCCAAACTAACTAATGGCAGTGAGTAAAGCTTATATTTTTAATATGCTTATGTAAATAACAGGCATATTATACATAGGAAACTAATAATGAGGAGGCCAATCAGTTTGCCCATTAAAGTGCAGTGCCTGCTTGTTATTTGTGGAAAAATACGGTACCTGTTGTGGATTGATTGATTGATTGATTGATCTGTTTGTTGTTGCTGTGGCGGATATCTTTATTAAGCTGGATGGTCCTTGCTTCATCCCTCATCTTATGTAGGTTGTTGTTGTGGATTTCTTTATTAAGCTGAATGATCCTTGTTTCATTCCTCATCTTATGTAGGGTGAATGAAACCTGACTGCTAGAGTTCTCATTTAACCATGCAAACCCAAAACAAATTTCAAGTCTGCTTTAAGACTTTTATGTTACTACTGAGTTTAGGAACACTAGTTCATATTTCTGACAGGAAGTTTTGTGTATCATATACATATGCATGCTCCACCAAACATACCTTGTTGTTTTCCATAAATAATAAATGGTTAAAATGAAATGTGTAGCCTAATAGATATAATCATAGAAATGAAAACCAAAAAAATTAAGAAACCCAGTACTTATTAGATGTTCTCCTATTACTCAAACTCAATGCCATTAAGTTGATTCTGTCTCATGGCAACCCAATAGTACAGGACAGAACTGTCCTTGTGAGTTTCTGAGACTTCCTTTCTGGGTCAAAGGAAGATTTTATATTAGGTTTATTTATTAGATAAAATGACTTGCTTATTGGTACACGTTTAAAACTTTTTTAGAGGTGTATGTGGAAAAGATTGTAATCCAATACAAAAGTTCACTCTAATAAAATTGAAAGTAATGTTTAAATTTTAAATTTTAAAGATTTTAGAATGATTCAATTTGCAAATTTTCTTCTTTTAAACCTGAGAAAGAGGTTTCTTCTAGGGGGTGGTGATTGAAAGTAAGTCCAAGGAGGATTTCTGGACAATAAAATTTCTTATTTTAAGTACTGGTTACTCACTGAGCCAACCACTTATAATCTGTGTAATTATTCTTCAGTAATACTTCAAAGTTCTAAAGCATTTATAGTCAGAACTTTCTGATTCAGAATTAACAGCAGAGATGGCCAACTATTACCGATCTGCTTGTTCACTTAGACAATGCACACGCCGTCCGTGCTCCAGGCTCAGGACAGACAGACTGTAGGTCTGCTATGCTTCACTGAGTAGCGGAAAGCATGTACTTGTATTAAAAAAAATGCTAAGGGAAATTCAAATATCCATTTGAACTTTGGCCCCTATCCTTTCCTGTTTAAAAAATTCCAAATCACTAATTACCATCACCATTTAGGAGTCCTGGGTGGTGTAGGGGTACATCAGTGGGGAGAAAGGTAAGGTTTTCTACTCATATAAAGAGTTCCGGTCTCGACAACCCAAAGGGCAGTTCTACCTTATCCTATAGGGTTGCTAAGAGTTGGAATAGACGCGATGGAACGGAGTTTGGTTGAAAATCAATCATTTGAATGCACACTTTTTAAGGTTGAGCACTGTACTAGAAATGTTACATTAACTCTTTACAAAATATTACCGTAATTCAAAGAGGTATACATGTAATAAATTGTCCAAGGACATACAAATGGTTACTACATGGTTCATTGTTTAAATTTTTTTAAACCCCCAATTATAATTTTTAAATATTAATTTCCAGTATATAAAATGATATCAGAAATAAAAACCTAACATTTTACTTACTCTGCTCATAGAATCAAAGCACTTCCTGACCAAAGATTCCACATCATTAGGTCGATCTTGAACATTTATCCAGTCTAATAAAGAAACATTGAAAAAAGGTAGCTCACTGTCTTTCGTATCTACTGAAATGTCATCATGATGGACAGTACTCTGACAGGAGTCCCTAATTTCTTTGCCACTTTCAGAATCGGTAATATCTGATGCAACATGATCCATTGGCGTATGAAATGAGGTTAACAATGATTTGCTAGTTGTTCGAGGCATATCAGAAGAAAGCACCAGTTCACTGGATCTTTTCATCTCAGCCTTTTCTGAGCCTTCATGTTCAGTTAAAGAATCCAATCTTCCCAAACATTCCCTGTAACTATGTCTGGTTAGGCACTCCAACAGTGGAATCTTGGCCATTACTGAAACTGCTGTTCCTAAACTGAAAATACAATAAGTAAGTAAATAACATCTGTCATTAGCTCTTAAAATACAAAAATTAAAGCTACTAGACTATTTTAAGAAAGCATGCCTGAAAAAAATTACATTTTATTATGACAAACGCAAATCGTATCATTTCTTATTACCACTTCAAACCAAACCAAACCAAGCCCACTGCTGTTTGTACAGTCCTGACTCATAACAACACTATAGAGGATTTCAGGGGCTCAGGAAGAGAGCTTTATCTTTTATCAGAACGGGCTGATCTAATGCTAACCTAAAATTGTCACCAGGGCTCTTTCCTAATGCCTTTAATATAAAAATTAAAATTTCTATTAAAAATGTTACTGTAAAAACACCAAATAAATTCCAACTTATAGAGACCCTATAATAGAAAGCAGAATTACTCCTTAGAATTTCTGAAACGAATTCTTTCAGAACAGATGAGCTCATCTTTCTCCCAGAAAATAGTTTGTGGGTCTGAAATGCTGGCTTTTTGTGGCTATCAGCCCAATGTGCACACACTGTGCCATCTGGATCCTTAGATCAGGATGGCTCTTGCTTTCATCACACTCCTAAAACAAAGAGATAAAGAGACTGATACTGTTTTATTGTCAAAGGCAATGTGAATATAAGTCTACTTTTGTAGACTAGATTGATTAGTTATGAGGAGCCCTAGAGGTGTAGGAGGTTAGGTCAGCAGTATGAACCCACCAGCCACTGCTGAGAAGAGAGATGAGGCTTCCTGGTCTTGTGAAGATTTACAACCTCAGAAGCCTAAAGGGCAATTTTACTCTGTCCTGTAGTGGTTACGCATCTGTATGGCTGGTAGCTGGACACTACCAGCATCTCTGCAGGAGAAAGACTAAGCTTTCTACTTAGTAGAAACCCACAGGAGGTCACTATGAGCAGTACTGACTCAATGCTGGAGTGGGAGTGGATCTGGTTTTTAGTTTTATAGGGTTACTATGAGTCCGTGTTGACTTGATAGCAGTGAGTTTTGATTAGTCATCACTTTTCTTCCTAATATTTGCAACACTGTCTAAATATGCCAAAAATAAAGAAACCCGAGTTACTAAAGTGGACATAAATATACCAGTGAAAGGAAAATAAAAAATAAAACTCAAGATCAAGGCCACCTCCCCACAAAGAGAAAAAAATTAAAAATATAAAAATTGAAATCATATTTCCACAAAGGGCTATATTCTCACATTCATATCACATCACATTTATCAAGTATACTTTTTCTTTCGAGCCCCTGAGCAAACATGCAAAGACCTAGAAATAAAACCAAATGGAAGCAAAATTACTTTTCTCTGTTCTACCAAGCCTGTATCTGTATCATGAGAATACTTAAAAGACATAAAATTTTCATAGATTGTTTAGTTTGATAACATCTCTTTTCTATATATGTGCTGTTGTTTCTTTCTTTATTGGGAGAATAAAAGGGATATAGAGTCAAAGATTGTTGCATTAATGAATATTTCAAAAGTACTTTGAGCCTACTGTACATAAAGGAAATGAGTGAAACTAAAAAATCTGGGGGGGAAATAGCATAGTAACTAAAACTATTGATATTGGCAAATTGTATTTTACAAGAAGATGTTATTATCCACTTAAATAGAAAACATACTGAGTAAGTTTTAACTTGATGTCTTCTATGGATTGCAGATAACTTGAATAAATACTTTCAAACTTGAAAAGGAGCTTTTGGTATGAATTTGTACAGTCTTCCAAATTGGCCATGATAGCAGCCCATCCTTGGTGTTGAAGATGTTCATCGTGAACCAGACCTTCACAAAAAGAACAAAGTTTCTTGGCAACTTCATACATCTCCTATATTAAAAAAAGAAGAAAACGGGTTTTATATGCTTGTTTTTCCACGAGTATGTACATTTTAAAGAAATAGTTTTTTAAACTTTTAGCTTTGCTTATTATTTATGCATCCCTTGGTAGCACAGACAGTTAACATGGTTATCTGCTAACTGAAAGGCTAGAGATTCAAGTCTATTTAAGTTGGGGGGAACGGTGAGCTTGGCAATCTACTTCCATGCAACTACCTAGCTCTATATATAATTTTACAGAAATTCAGTCTTCTGTTTCTTTCTACTCTTAGTGACTAGTTTAGTTTTATTAGCTATAAAGAGCCCGTGGGCAGAGTGGGTATTGCTTTGGGCAGCTAACTGCAATGTCAGCAGTTTGAAACCACCAACTGTGGGAGGAAGAAGCTTCCTACCCTCTTAAAGAGTTAGAGTTGGAAATTGACAAGAGCAGTTCTGACGAGGCAGTGTCTATTCAATGAGAACAAGTTAGTTTTAATTAATTTTCTGAAAACCCTAAGGTACACAGATACAATCTGGACAAACATAAAGTTGGGTTGAAGTTAACTGGATGGCAATTGGAAAACTGTTCGTGTGCACAAAAACTTAAAATTATAACAGAGCATACAGACAATATAATAGTGTCTCAGCAAATATGCTAAGAAGTGGTCAACAAAGAATTCCCACAGAATGTCATCTTGATCTAAAATTAAATTAAAGGTGGCAAAAATTGAATGACAGGAGTAATGACTATGAATTACTGTGGCATGAAGAGAATTTTGGTAAGATGAGGAAAGAAGCATTGCAGAAGATAAGTAATACCAAATGAATTTATAAAGGATTGAATATAAAGAAGGAACATGAGAATGGATTTAAAGAGTACTGTGATTTTCAAGCTGTATACAGTCTAGCTATAAAATCATCAACAGTCTAGATACCACAATAAAATAAGAAGGCACAGTAATCACTGTCAATGTTACCATTGGAAATAATGCAGCTTTTATAGATGATTGAGACATTGGAGTAAGCATTAGACCAGTTCATTTTTCAAAAAAATGTAGAAGCCTCTCCATACAGAAAACAAATTCTCAGAGATATCAAAGAACATTTAAAAAGTTTATACAGTTTCAAAATCATAATTGACCACTGTTTTAGGAAATATCAGTTTAGTAAACAAATTGAGTTTTGAAAGATTTTCAAGAGAAAATACTGGTGTTTTCTTTGTGAAGGTTAAGAGGAAAGTAACCTCTCTTTGGCCCTGAATAAATCACATAACCTCATCTGTCCTTTTTTCTTTATACATAAAGTAGTAGTTTGTGTTTGGGGGAATGTTGAAATATCTTGTCTAAGCTCCTCCTCCCTGAAACCAACCAAACATAACAAATCCACAAACAAAAGCCATGAAAACATTTAATGCCTATATCCCTGTAATGCTAGCATGCTGATACAGTATGTTTACAGTAATGAAGTATACAAATGTTGGGTCAAATTATATAAAGATGAGAGTTATCACTATTGCAGACTTTTACCATCTGGGGAGAACTACGGATAAATCTTGGGAAACATACGCAGAAAGCTTTGGGGGTTGTAGGACATGATTTCTAAATGAGTAAAATATAGAAAAATCTGTGAGGTAAACCAAATGAAGAAAAAATAAGTTATCTCTTTCTCATTTGTAACAAACCATATAAACTTATAGAGGTTTCTCTGTGAGCCAAGAGATCAGTCATAACTTCTGGAAAGAATTCAATTAATTGATTTAAAGATGAGCAAGAATATGAAGTTAAAAAGTAATACATAAAGTTGGCAATACATTACTGTAAGAAAAAAAGGAAAAAGAAAACCCTCCCTAAAACATGAGTGAAGAATCTCACAGGCAATCAGGAACAATTGGGAGATGTAAGTGAATTATGAATGAATTCATAATTTTAAAATTCTTTGCAAATAACAGGAAAGTTCAAAGCAGCAGTCTGTGGGTTTAAAGTTGATATGTGGAGTAGCAGAAGAAAGCATAATTGTGAAACCACAGTGAACGCTAAAAAGAGAGCTGACTAAAGGAGACTTAGCCGAAAACACAAGTAAGTTAGACTTTTACAAATAAAGTCTAATAAAGTAAAAAAAATGAGTCAAATAAATTAAGAAATGGTTTAAAACTAACTTCAAAGAATGGTAAATTAGGGGCATAATTCTCTTTATATAGAGTACCCTTTATATTACTCTTTATAATATAACTCAAAGGAGTAAAATTACCCAGAGATACAAATGACTACTACAGTGAAAAGTAAAAAAAACAATGTTGAAATAAGTCCATGTTCACAAATTAGAAGTCAATTCTTAATGTGGACTGATAGAACTCTTGAATAGCTAAAGCAATGTTGAAAGAAAGAAAACAAAGTAGTAAGACACACTTTTTTATTTTAAAATACATTACACAATCACAGTAATTGTAACAGCCTTGGTATTGGTAAAGAATGGAGGGTAAGAACAAAAATCAAAGCTATTGAATTGTACATGTAGAAACTGTTAGTATGTATTTTGCTGTGGATACTCAACAACAAAAAATAAAATCTTAAACCTGAAAAAGAAAGAGAAAATGAATGCTGTTCCTGCAAAGAAGCGCTACACACACACACACACACACACACACACACACACACACTCACACTCTCTCTCTCTCTGAACTGAATCTGGGGCACCATCTCTAGAAAATCGAATAGAGCAATGAAAATCCAGAGTATAATCTAATAAAATAGATCTCAAATGTTGTGAGTCTGTAGGCAAATAAATAAAGGGGTAAAAATTAAATCCACCGTGGTCTAGTGAGTTACATGTTCAGCAACTAATTGCAAAATTTATAAACCCACCAAGCACTCCTCAGGAGAAAGATAAGGCTTTCTGATTCTGAAAAGAATTATAGCCTCAGATGTGGGAAACAGAAGGTTTTCTCCCAAGTTGTCTCCCCCAAATATATGCCAGACTTAGTTGCTTGAGAATGACTATACACTTGGAGGTCATCAGGAGTATATTAGGGGTCATTCTCCCTAAGAGCTGTCAGCCATCTAGACCAAGCAGACAACACTGTTTATTCTACAAGTAGGGCCCACTCCCTTCTGATAAGGATAGTAGTTGTCTATTTCCTTGTAGGAGACATCGGAGAGGTCAATACCGCCCAAGGATGCCCAAGGTTAGGCTGCCATCATCAATCTAGGGTCCACCCATCTTGTCACATGTATACCCCTAGACCTTCCCATTTCTATGGGCATACCCCTCGCTCATCCCCTTCCTGTTATGCTTGTGCCTATCATAGATCCCCTTCCTACAATGTATATGCCTATTGTACTGCCCCTTCCTGTGACATGTGGTTACCTGTAATCATGTCCCTCTAAAGAGATAGAATGCTTGGTTAGCATAAAGAACGTTCTCCCCAGTTCCTGGGGCCAGGGCAGCTCTCCCCGGTTCTCGGTCATGGAGGCTATCTCCTGATCTCAAGGCCGGGCTCCTCCAACCAGGCCCACCTAGCGGGACTGAGGTGAGCATGCTACCATGGATTGTGTCTGACTCCATTTATTCCAATCTCTCCTCTACCTTTCATGCTCTCTATGACTTTACTATAATCTTTACTTATTATCGCTGTACAATTGCGCCTACCGGACCTGTGATTTATGGGGGACCTCCTTCCCCTTCTCCCCACACTCAGATATCCAAAAGGGTAGTTCTACTGTTTCCTAGAGGGTTGCTATGAATCAGAATCAGTTCAATGTGATTTTATAAAATAGAATAAGACTTTATATATATATATTTATGATAGTAAAGAAAGAATACACATTGGCTTCAGATTCATGCCTTCAGTATGAATTATACATAACTGGCTTTATATAATGAGATAATTTATTGTGCCAGCCTGGCCGATAAACACAAGTGGGATTAACTGAAGGGCAG